AATGTATCAATATTAGTCATTAATTGTAACAAATGCACCATTCTAAGACTTTAATAACGGTACACTGGTTGTGGGGCTATTTAAGTACTCTGAACTATCTTCATAATAATTCTGTAATCTAAAACTGCTCTAAAGTTTTTAAAGACTAAAAAGTAGCTAATTTAACTATCTCATTACATTTTTAAATGATTTTTAAAACTATATATTTTTCTGTGCTCACTGGGATACATTATTGTAACTTCTCCCCACTTATCAATTAGCTAGAAAATATTGATTTTCTGAATTTACAGAGAGTAAACTTTGAAAATTCAGTCCCCCCACGGACCACCCCACAGTGTCCACACGTGAAAAACAAACACACTCAACTACAACTCTAGTGACATACACATTTATTTGTTTCAATAAAGTTTTAAAATTTAACAAAAATGCATTATTGTTACCAAAAACCTTCATGCAATAAGAGAAATCAACCTTAAAAAAAAACCCCACAAAGATTTCATTCCACAGTCTCTTGGACTTAAGAATTCACTTGAGTTCCAGAGATAACACTAAACTAATGGGTTATGTCAAACTGCCAACATCCAAGCTGAAGTTTTTCCTGATACAGTCTTCTGCAATGTAAGTAACAATATAAAGGTGACTTATTTTTTACAAGTTCATGTTATTGTATTATTTATATGACATCAAAAAAGAAACCCCAAAATCGTCGCTTAAAAATAAAAATGCATAATGCAAATTTGCAAGCTTTGACCTGCATCAGAATCACTTAAAGGGCTTGTTTGAACATGGAATGCTAGGCCTCACACCTCATTCAGGTGTTGGGTGGGGCCCAAGAATTTGTATTTCTAACAGGTTTCTAAGCCAAGCCAAAGCTGCTTGTATGGGAACCACACTTTAAGAACCACTGCCAAAATATTTAGTAAAACTGAGTATGTCATAAAAATGAGTATGTCATAGCATAAGGGCACAACTCTGCATTGCTCTGTGACCTTGCACAAATTACCCTTCCCAATCTGTATCTTGCATAAGTTCTAAAGAATCAAATGAAAACATATTCACAGCACTTAACACAACACCTGGCACTATTGAATGTTTTTATGCTATTTCAAAGCAGGGTCACAGTTATACTCAAATTGTTAACTGAATTACTAAGTTTTAGCTGTCCCTCTTAAGGCATATTGATCTTAAAGTGTTACAAGAGATAGAGGCACTTTTCAGCCTCCCATGATCATCAGTTAGCGTTTTTGAAGTGTCCATTTATCCATACCACTACAATCTTCACTGATTCACTGGTTTACTTTAAATAGTAAATAATACAGCCAATAAAAATCACTGGCACAATTTTACTCTAAATTAGTGATGTTGTTCACTGTCCTGAATTATTTGAACATGAAACATTCAATGTGCTCTAGAAGGCCAATAACTGTCCAACTTTTTCTTTAACACTTTATCAAATGAATGTATTCTTACTAAAAGTGATTTGAAGGTTCTTCAAATGTAATTTCCTGGGCCTCTGACTGATAGCTTTGTTTATATTTTTGCACTAAAAATAATGAAAAGAAATCAAATACTTTTCTGTTAATTTTTCTTAACTTGGTTCCATAAAACAAAAATGTCCACTGATGATATCATCAACCTTTGTTTAACCACTGTAAATAGTTCACATTTTAAAGGAATACAAATATTTCTCAGGATAAAAGCCTATAACGTAATACAAAGATTGTGAATTTCGTGGTCCATGGTGTATCTAAAGACAGACAACAACTGATCATAAGAATTAAGACTATAGTTTATACTTAATAATGTTGCACACTTTAATGTGAAAAACATACATAGCAGTTAAGTCTTATTTTGTTTTTCTTTCACATACATAAAGCCAACCTACCATTCCTACTTGGCTCATCTTAATTTATTCCATATTGCTCAAATATCTTCCACAAAATAGAGAGCTTTTTCCTTTTAAAATCATCTTTACTCAGCAAAAGATTTGAAAGTGAGTGAAATTGTACATTTGGTCCAGTATTAAGAGGAAAGTTTCATTTTCTAGCTTCCTTTCTAAACTTACCTGGTTAGACAACAAAATTAAATGAATGGATTGTATAAGATGTATCTTTTTATCTATCTCTTTATCATGAAGGTCCAACATTACATAAATTCTTTCCAAGAAGTTGACCAGGAATAAAACATAACCTTTTGTAGAAGTGAAGAGAAACTAAAAGCATGAAATTGAGAATACATGTGGGTATTTTACAGCTACTGATAGAATTGTGTGCACACACACAGTGAATCTAGAATTTTAAAAAGATTATTTGATGAATTCTAAGATAAATGACTCCAGATTCAATTAAGACTCAAGATACCTTACAAGTTTTACAACAGGCTTGCTCCAGTAATGGAGTATGTTCTTATAAAAGGACTTGAGACATTATCTAAACATTCTGACTAAATGATGCTTGTTCACTTGTTAGACATGTACATCATTTTGGAAAATATTAATTTAGAGTTCAAGAAGTAAAGAAGACTGATTAGCTTGTGCAGGTGTATGAAGAATGACACATTAGCAAAAAGTTATGTAAACCATTTACTAAAAAAACAAAGTCTGAATTTTTACATTCTCAGACCTCTACTTACCTTTTTCAAACTACGAAGGACCTGAAATTCTTTGAACACCATCAGATTTAGTTGACAACAGTTCTAATTTTGAATTAAACTACTCGTGTAGTTTTAAAACACAAAGATAATTAAAATTTTCAGTCAGGCTAAACATATGTACACTTTCTTACTTATTCAAGAAGCCTCACCATTAATGTATTCAGATCTTATCCACACTATATTTTTGTTTTTTAAACATTATTCCTTCAATAATATACTAAATATTTTAATGTATTGCATACGACTTCAACAAGAGGCACTTAAGTTAATTGGAATATTAGCATTTAATTTCAAAAGCATAACTCATGGTTGGGGTTTTACTGACAGTGCAGAAATAATTAACCAATGTTAAAAATAAATGAAAATTTACTTTTTTATTGAGTATTTATTATTTTACACGCAAAGTATACTAAAATGAATCACGCTGACTACTCCACAATGAAAACCTATGCAAAGGGAATTATTAAAGGTGTCTACACAATACTAATGTGATCAATAAATTATCCAGATGTTTTCTACAAATATTTGTATTACCTAAATTAGCTGATTTTTCAACAGTAAAGTTTAGTTTTCATATGGTTCTTGCTGGTGGCAGCAGCCATTTGATATTTAAACTTAAAAGAAAAACATAATAATAAAAAACCCTGAATAGCATAACCAAATCATTCAAGAAGAAAGTTCACACACACACACACACACACACACACACACACACACACACACTAAAAATAAAGATAATAATATACACATATAAGGTATCCAGAGGGGGAAAGAAAACAGGCATGTAATAAATGTCCATCAAGTGATCATCACTAACATTCTATTATTACCAAAGTGGCCGCCCAGATGTAAACTGTTTATCAGACTTAAATACCTAAGACGAAACAGTAATCAATAATACATAAAGAAAAACTAACATAAAGTCATGTTTGAATACATCAACAGTTTGGTGTATCTGATATGCATTGAAGTCTTTTTACTTCATTACTGCCATAAAATCCTTTAAACTGTTCTTTTCATAATACATACTTATGTAAAATAAATATAGTACAGTACTTCCCGATATGCACCAGGCCCTTCACTCCAACATTCAGTAAATGCTGCAGCACATCAAATGTTACCTATCAACTAGAACTAAAAGACAATGGCTGAATAACACACACAAAACTACTTTTGAATGAACTATTCAGGTTAGACTAGTTAATGCTGCTTAAAATGGCACTTTGTGTTACTGACTCTTGCTATATAGATTGTATGTTGCCAGATGGAAGGACTGGTCCCTATCCTTTAAAAAAACTTCTGTAGTATCTCTAACTGTATGCTCAGTTGATTAATAAGTACTTGCTGCAAGAATGGGTATAAAAATTTAATATGACTCTCTCATCCAAACTCTTCTTACATACTCACATGTAATTATTTTGGGGATGAGGATATGACTTTAACATGATATGAGATTCTAGCAAAATAAAATAAAAAAAACAATGGGCTTAGTTTTTCTTGGGTAATGTTTCAAGTCTTTACAATGAGAACAACTAACTTCTGTTATATCACTAAGAAACTTATTAGCACAGGGGAAAGTACCTTTGTTGAGGCACCTGATGAGCAAAATGTTCATTGTTTATTAGTACTATGCTTTCAATTTAATGAAACCAAAAATAAAGTGTCACTAAGTTCTAAGTAATATAAATTTACAATCCTAGTTGATGGGATGACCTTTATTTATGAGAGCAAGCATAATTCTAATACAAAAGAAGTTTATTGTTACATATTAGGAATGGTTCAGATACAATAAGAGAACGTTTAGCAGTGCCTCTAACATATTATTTTTAAGTTCAGATATTTGAATGCTAGATCTTTCTCACATAACATATTCCCCACAATGAAAAGCCCTGGTGCATTTGGTTTCTTATATTACAAGATGAAAATATATGCCTGAATCTTGTAGCAGATTATTAACAAAAGCATATTAAGTGCCAACACTGCATGGAACTTACTAGGCATAGACTCAAGATCAAAAAAACCACAAAGAAGATGAAAGATGACTCTCACTGTACATGTGAGTATTGTCTAGGACATCAGATCAATTATCAAATGCAAGGTCTTTCCTATTTTGTCTCATGGCGTTGAACATATGGACATGACTAATACACTGACTTATATTACGTTCAATGAAGTATTAAGTGAATGCAAAATCCTGCATTTTAATTTCTAATTATAAAAATCCAGAGTAACCCAGAAAAAATAAAACACATGTAATTGAGGTAGGTTTTTGACCTTAAGAATACATTGTTTCCACCACAATTTAAGTTATTTTAAAAAAGAAAACATTGCTTCATGTTTCTGCCCCTGATACTTAATTTGTTTTAAACTACTTGATCAAATGTGACAGTGCTAATTACTGAATTTAGTAAATTCCCTTAGAAATACAAACCTTATTACCTTCCTTTTCCTTTCTAAAGGTAAACTGTAGTGCAATAAAATAATAACAAGTCTAGAAAAATGAAATGGGTTACTTCATCAATTCTCAAGTTAATGCATTTCAAAAATAAGGGAGGCAAGTCACATTCATTTGAAAGTTAATAACCTTATTGTTTTGAAAATAATATCATAAACACATAACAACTTTGGATATGCTTTATTATGCCACAAATTCCCAGGAAATATAAGAAATATTATTTCTGAATGGGACTAATAATTTCACAAATACTAGCGCTCTATTGATAACAGCCAAGTTTTCTAAGGTGGTACACATGTATTTAAGCTATGCTTTCAAAAATCTAAGTATTTTTTATAAATTTAAAGGGATACTGTAGCAGATCCTACTTCACTTTTTAATATTCAGTGTAAAAATCAATAGGTGAACAAATTCGTACTTTAAGGAAGAACTGCATGTGAAAGCTTCGCCTAAGTTCTCAGGTGCTGCATCTGTACTAGGTACCAGTATATAAATATAAGATCATTGTGAGAAATGTTCCCAAGGAACTGAAGAAAAGGAAAAAAACTAAACTAGCTTAGTCTTTAAAAGTATTAATACCTGTATAATTTTAAAAAGAGAAATTGAGTATTCATTTACTTACATACGGATTAAATAGAAAATTCAAAATACTTTTTTTTCCTGAAAAACCAAAGCACTGATATATTTTAAGGCTAGGTACTGACAACATTTTCACAATGTCCAAGGTGTGGATGGGAAACTAGGCAATACAGGTATTCATACCTAACGGCAACTAAAGCGAGATGAGTACCTCACAGCGAGCAACCACTTGACATGTGGGTAGCAAATCACTGTTCCCATGCTGGTTAGTACTCTCCAAAAAGGATGTCCTTATGCAGTACTTCTGCAACTGTATCAAGTTTGGTAATCTAACATTGAACTTGTTGGTAAATATATATGGACATATGAAAACTTCCCCAGATACTGGTTGTTAAATGACCTAAAGGGTGGAAAATGCTGGTAGCTAACATTTTGTTAATTCCAGAGTCTCCAATGGAAGGTAGAGAAGGAAAGGTAATGGCAGCTGTTTCCAAACTTATGCAATGATCAGAATCATCAGATGGTGAGCTTTAACAATTCTGTCCAGGGTCTCAATCTAAGCCTATCTGGAAACTACAGTCAGGAAATTCTTTTTAAGCAACCTAAGTGATTTTGATGATCAGCCAAGACTGAAACTTCTAAAGTGGAAGGTGGTGAGGGTATTTGGGGGATGGGGAGCTGGCAATCTAGACCACTACTGAGAGTTTTAGAATTCAATATATGATCACTTACTCTACATTTTTCCCAATTGTCTCACCTTTCCTATTTTTCTAACAGTGAATAATGAAGGGGCTTGGCAAGTAAAGGAAAAAGAATCAGTGGGGGGCATCCAAAATGCATTTACTATGTTCAAGACACTTATGTATATTAACTGGATAAACAGGTATCATTATACTGTTTGAGATCCAACTATCAGGCAGACATTTCTTAATATTAATGTTATTTTAAAGGAGTGAGTTTCCTTACTCAATAAGACAATATAATATAAAACAACTCTAAACACTAATGGTAATTAATATAAAAGAAAATGTGTACAATTCTTCAAAAACAATTTTTTAAAAAATCCAATGTTAGGAAGAAAATCCCTTAAATTTGAGGTAGGGCAATTCTTTCACAAGAACAACTATGTCAGTGTTACTCTCAAAATTAGAAATTAAGCAAAGTATTTCAGTACTAGTTCTGTTTATATACTTTTTTGTAATGTAAGTAAAAACGTTTTTAAGTGTGGATAAATATTGTGGTTTTGATTTTATTGCATAAAATTAAAAATGTGAATTTTTTTCCTTATACACTAAAATCATTCTTTTTCTCTGGGCTTGATGAATAAAACAACTTTTTAAATATCCCATGTTCACTTATAAACCTAAAAAAGGCAGTACCTACATAAGAAATTTTATATTAAAATTACAAATGTACGTTCTTCAAAAGTTAAAGTGATTTCAATTTTTTCAATATTCAAATACAAAATAGTACATTTTAATTTACTATAGCACAATTCAAGTATTCTCTTAAATTTTGTATTTAGCCAACTAGTACATGATATTAAGTGACTTTTTATAATAGCTTTCCTTTTTAAAGATGGCTGTTTTACAAAATAGTGCAACTCTTATGATTCTAAATTGCTTAGATTAAGTTGAAAGAACAAATGACAGCAGACAAAAACTTTTATGAGTAAATCATAACTATTCATAAAAGGTTGCACATTTTAGTAATAAGGCATTTGCAGGTAACTCCCAAAAGTATTTGAATTCATGTAAACAAAGACTATGTATATTCCTTTAGGAAGAAAATGCACTACCATAGGTAAAATATATTCAAATGGTTGTGACTTTAAACCATATATTATTTGAATACCACACAAAACCAAAGAGGCATAACCTATCATTTTAAAAACTGAAAGATATTACTTATTTGTGAAATAAAAAGTAGATACTTTTGAAACTAATAATGAAAAAGAAATGTTTTCAAAATAAACATCCACTGTTTTCTAGAAATAAATATACATACTTAATGTATTGCAGCACAGGAATATTGCCCTAGCATTAATCATAACATTCAATCAGTAGTTTTAAAATTTTTTTTCCCATACTGAACCTTGAATCTTCTACCTTGTTAGCTGCCCAACTACTTTCAAAAGAGTTTTATTCTCTTGCTTTAGTTGTTCGTTTTCATCTTCTATGTCATCTAGGTCCTTAAGGAAACAAAAAGAAAAGTAGTATGTGAGTTTTTAAAATACTTTAAACTTTATTAACACACTTCAAAAAATACACATTCAGAGTTAATTCATGCAAGCAATTAATTTAGAAATGAGGGCACGTTCTGAAAACAAGTTTAGATAGAATATATCCTCCTAAAGTGAGCGAGCATCCACTACTCACCTCCTTCTCATTGTTACCATGGTTACATGAGCCAATTCTTGCCAGATCTTTCAGTTTCTCAAGAGAAGCCAGAAATCAGAATTCTTTGTGAATCTTCTAATTTTTAATCATTATGACTTAATATTTTATTTAGAAAGAAATTTCCCCTTTCCCAAAACTATAGATATGGGGGCTATAAGATGGTGAGGGACACAGATTGTAACCTTCTGCCAAATTAGAAATCAAAAAGATTCTGGTACAGGTTCTGGATAAACTCCTACCATCTTGTGTAATCTTCCATAAGTGTGTATACTGTGGGGTAAGAATCTGAGGAGCTGATAAAAAATTGAGGTGTACCGAAAAGGAGATCTGGAGCATATAGAATTGATCTAGTTCAATTTATATGTTAGGCTTCTCTGTGACATTTTAAGTAAAAGGCTTTAGAGCTTTAAAAAAATTGAAAGCCACTAAACTAGATAATCACTCTCCAACTTTAAAGTTACGCGATTCTAGCTCTATAGTCCCTCTTTAATCCTAGTGCCTTATATACAATTATTTGGTAAGTATGAAGACCAGCTACTCTAAGTTTTAGAAGAAACACCATTTCAAGGAAGACTATTTACTGATAGTTGAAAAGCAGACATTTATGGATTTATCCTTGCCATTCAAAATACTAAAAACCAGAGCAATCAATATAGTATGTGTGTTATTGGATACCAGCATTCTGATATTTAGTGTACTGTCTTTGGACAATTAGGTACATGATTTAAAAATGTACAAAAACAGAATTTGCATTTACTCACAAATTACATGAATGATGTTGAAAAACTAATCTGTTGAAAACAATCAAGACGCATGATTCCTAAAATTACTACAACTAAGATTTACCTAAGTTTTGGAATTAAATAGAAGAATACATTATGTATCATTACTGTATTATAAGTTCTGTAGGCACAGGTGTTTTATTATTCTCTTTAATGGACACAGTGCCAAAGCAATGCCAATACTTTATCTATACCATAAATATTTGTAGATTTTATTAAATCATAGTCAAGAACCAAAAGATAATGTCTGTGTTCTGAACGAAGATGAAAGAATTTATTTCGATTAGGATTCTCAAATACCTGAGGTCAAATACACGCTCAGCTGATGACTATGTGATTACTATGTATGACCTTGAGCAAGTTAAACTCTGAGTTTCAGTGTCCTCATCTCTAACCTGTAGTTAATGCCCTACATCTTTCTTATTCTACACATAATGAAAACTCTATTTTCTATTCTTTCACAGAGTTGATATTGAGTTAGAAATCTGTTCGTTTTTTCCCTGAAGCAAACATTTCCTTCCTCTGTCTTATCTAAAGTCAAGTCTTCTAAAAAGCAAAGCTGTGGAATCTCTTCTCATCACCATTACTTAAATATGGTCTAGCATTATTAGGATCTGCTTAAGGAGGCAGTAAATTCAAGGACTATAAGCAGAAAAAAAAGAAAAGGCTACAAATAATTAGAGAGACCTTGGAAGAGGTTAAGGATGCATATGTACAACTGAAGAAAAATAAGTGATTAAAAAACACACACAAAGAAATGTGGAATTTCTTATGGCAGAAAGTAGTTCTTTCACTGAGGAAACTTGGTGCCTTTTGTGTGTAGTGATGACCAAGCTGCCTCTCACCTCCAGAGTAAGGTGCAAAGTAAATCCATTCCTCAGTCTATCTCCATAAGAATAATATTAAGTGAAGACAACTGATAACTGGATGAAAGAAATCAATATACAAAATGAAATGATAGTTCTTACTACCACAAATTACTAACTCATTAACAAAAAAAATGAACTAAATAATGAACTTAAATAATTTCTTCATGTTTGTATTTTCATTCGATCAGGAAAAAAAAAGGAAACCATGAAATTGAAATGTGTAAATACTCACTCTATTTAACAAGTCAATTTCTTCTTTGAGTTTTCCGATCATTTCCTCTTTATCTTGCATCAGCCTCACAAGTCTTAAGTTTTCTTGCCTTTCCCTTAATACTTCCTGGTAAATATAATTACAAAGTTTATTAAGTGGGAAGTAATTGGTGGTCTTATAATCTTTAGTGGCATATATCTGCCAAATTTGGTGAAATATCTTAGATATATGAAGGTTTCCAATGAATTTTCTTATGTCACTTGATAAGGGAAGGAAAAATCCATCCCAGAAAAGAACCAGAGTTTGAGAGGAATATGGGAGTTCTAAGGTATGTTTCTGATCAACTCTATGTTTATACAAGTGTTTAACAAATACTAATATTCCATGGAGTCCCCTCCTTAGCTTATCACCACCATTAATCATAAAATATTTTTAATGGATAATCTAAGGATACTCTAACTTATTAAAAACACAAAGTTTAAGAATGTACTTTGGTGCACACCTGAAATATAATACTGTATGTCAACTGTAATTGAAAAATAAATTAATTTTTAAAATAAATAAACAAATAAATAATTTTTTTTACAAAAAAGGAGATAGCTCTATGGAAAAATCTAAGCAGAAAAATAATGGCTCTCAGTTTTATTTCCAGCTCTGCTAATTAAATGACAGTGGATAAAACAAAGGAAATGAAATAGATTGCTGGTTTTCTAGGTTTTTTGTTTTTTTAAATGATGCAATACTTTTTTCAAAGAAATCTTATTTTGAATCCAGAGATTTGGCCTGGGTCAGCCACCTCAGGGGCAAAAAGAGAAGCAGAACTGAAAGGGTCTTGTCCAGAACTAGGCTTCTTTCTGGCCAACCCTCAGAGAAAGCAGCCAGCTGGCTTCATTAATCAACTGCTGCCAACTAGCAAGTCAATCCAAACCCATGTGGAACTTCAAAAAGTTTTTCTGGAGAATCCCCTTGAAACCTACTGAACTATGTATTCCTTAAAGTTTTTAATTTAGAACTATAGAAACTAGTTTGAAAGCTCAGATCAGAGCTAAAAGTAATGATGTTATAAAAAGAAACAACTTTAAAAATTAAATCTCTACTAAAAACAATCTTTATATCAAGGTAATAATTTCAATTAAACAAAACAAAACATACTTTCAACAATCAGCAAGTAATTCAGTACCATTATCAATTTTAGAGGCTGAATGTCTACAGAACAAACCTGAGGAATTTATGCCAATATCCATTCGAGCTGTTCTAAAAGATGCTACTAAATAGGTTTATTCTTAAAATGGTTTTCAAACATGATCTGTATATTGCACTGTGTTTATTAACCAATGGCACCCCAATAAATTTAATTTAAAAATTAAAATTGTTTCAAACACCAAAGATGGCTCTGGGCTCTAACTCAGAACCCAGAAGAAAGTCTACAAATGACAATTTGTACAGATAAAACACACAGTAGTACATACTGCCAGGACAGACTTCACCCATTTCAAAAGTAAAGACTATTTTCAATATATTAAAGACAGCACATGAAGAATGGAAGTAGCCATTAAATGTTAAAGAATACAGAGAATTGGCTCTACTTCTAAAGGTTTTAACATCAACAGAACTGGATACAGAAAAACATTAAGGAAATCAGAAAATGCCTAGCCACTATGCCTCCAGTCAACAGACTTAAGAAAGTGATTCAAAGCTGCTATTTGAATATATATAGAAATACCAATTAACACTAATGATCTCTTCCATTAGTGCCCTCATTCATTTCCCTTTTTTTGGCACTGTCTCTCCCCTACAAATTTCAATTTATTTTCTCTCTCAGCTTCTATGTAAGTAAAAAAAGGAATCCAAACAGTATATTAATTCTATCAATCATAAATAATTTATAATTCATACCTTTTCAAGATCTTCAATTTTCTTTTCCAATGTGCTACTTGAGACCAAATTACCTGAAGTATTTGCATCCCTATTGTATCTGCTGAACCCACTTCTATCTGTTCGGGGATATCTACTTGAGATTTCTTCTTCAGAGGCAGTAGTTGTGCTATGGAAATAATGCATATATACTTAAGATACTCAGCAAAAAGAACACCAAAAATATTTTCTATTAGTCGTAAACAATTACCGTTCCCCTGAGGACACACGATTTTAGTAATCAACTTACTCGTAACTATAGAAGTTAATTATTCCAACACAATAAAAAATATTTCATTCAACACAATGAAAAACACTTGTTAATTCTTTGACCAATATCTACTGGGTAGCTGCTAAGTACCAGACACTGTTCTGGGTACTAAAAATGTAAAAGCAAACATAAACATGGACTCTGCCCTTCAACTTAACAGAGGCTATAACCGATGATAACAAAGTAACACAATCACAATAAGGTAAGTGTAGAGTAATATGACAGGGACCTAATATAGGTCCCTTCCCTTTTCTTTTTCTTTTTTTAAAAAAAAATTCCAACCCATCATGGACGAATACTTTTGTAAGATCATATAAAAATGAGTTATTAAAAAATAAAAAAAGGCTAAACAAAATACAAGTCCAAATGTTTTATTAGATTCAGACCCATAAAATACTATTTCAATACTATAATTAGAATAAACAGAAAAAAAGAATTACATAAAATTGCATAATTTTCACTGAAAGTATGCACATAGGCCATAACAGGCTATCACACTAAAGTCATCTCTGAAGGCTTGACTGGACTGGAGAATTGCCTCTAAGATAACTCACACATCTGAAGGTAAAAAGCCTCAGTCTCTCACTGGCTGCTGGCCAGAAGCCTCACTCACTCCCTCAGTATATGGGCCTCTGCACTGGGCTGTTCACCATATGGGAGCTGTTTTCCAGAAACAAAGTTGCATAGCAACCAAGACAGAAGCTGCAGTATCTGTTTTGCCCTGATCTCAGAAATGGCATACTATCACATCAACCTGTGTTGCAATGTGAAAGGGGATTACATACAAGGTATAAATACCAGGAGGTAGGACTTCTTGAGGGATCTCGTTAATTTACCTATACTAGGTTGGACCAATGATTATACTGCTCACAAGGGATAAGATATATCTAAACTAGAATGTTTTGTTTAAATAGCACTCATAACAGGAAAACTAGTTTCACAGATGTATGTTGACAGGAATAGATTTTAAAGCAATTTCAGCAAGGTCAGGATATTCATTTTCAACTTTTATCGCAAATAAAGAACATGATGATTTTCAAAATGTCTTTAATCCTTCACTGGTAGTCAGTTACAATCATTTATCCATCAAAATTATAGTTAAATCTAAAATAGCTTTTGATTTTCAGAAAATGGATTACTGCTCTATTAATTCCTTATACATTGGTTTTCTTTTGATAGAAAATAAAATTCAAAGTGTATCTTAGCAAATTTTCAAGGTATTTGATTATAACATCATGCAAGTGTGCAATACTAAAATCACTACTAACTTTCATGATAACTGTTACTGCATTGTGAGATTCACCATAATTTGTAAAACTTTCCCCCCAAATTTCTACATGTTTTTGTCCTCTGGTTTTATATAACATTGAAAACATTTTACATTCCTCCCTTGCATGGTAGAACACCACCATTAAAAAAAAACTATCAGAGAAATAAGTCTAACTCACATATTTAAAAAGCTGGAGACCAAACTGGTTTCTTAGCTTGCAGAAATACCGAGTTCATCCCGAAGTTCAAATACTTTTGTCTGAAAATTTCCCTTGGGAAATTACTGTTTACTTCAGCATACAGTTAACAGCTCATTGGTTCAGCTTCCAAATTATCTTTTTTTTTTTTTTTTTTTGGGAAAATGGGTTGACTTTATTATTTAGTTGTGCATTTTTTAGTAGTTCACTTTTTTTTTTGTATTTTTTCTGTTCCCACTGTCTCCCTTATATCCTCTTCCACTTACCCCTTCCCCACTCCACCCCCTGCCTACTAGCAATCATCACATTGCTGTCCTTGTCCATGAATTTTTTTCCTGTTTGCTCAGTCCCTCCACCCCCTAACCCCGTCCCTCAGAGCTGTCAGCCTGATCTCTATCTATGAGTCTGTCTCTGTTTTGCTTGTTAGTTCAGTATGTTCATTAGATTCCACATGAGTGAAATCACAATTTTTTTTCTGACTGGCTTATTTCACTTAGCATAATGTTCTCCAGGTCCACAAATACTGCTGCAAAGGTAAAATATTCTTTTTTTTTTTATGGCTGAGTAGCATTCCATTGTGTAAATGTCCCATAGTTGTTTTATCCACTCATCTACCTACCGGTGGACACGTGGGTTGCTTCCAAACCTTGGCAATTGTATATTATGCTGCAATGAACAAGGGGGTGCATATATCCTTTTGAATTAGTATCTTGGGTTTCTTCGGATAAATCCTCAGAAGTGGAACTGCTGGGTTGTAGGGCAGTCCCATTTTTAATTTTTTAAGGTTATATCCATACTGCTTTCCACAGTGGCTGCACTAGTCTGCCTTCCCACCAACACTGCAGATGGATTCCCTTTTCTCCACATCCTCACCAGCCGTGTTGTTTGCTTATTTACTAATGATAACCATTCTGACTGGTATGAGGTAATGTCTTACTGTGGTTTTAATTTTCATTTTTCTGATAAATAGTGATGTTGAGCATCTTTTCATGTTTATTGGTCACCTGTATGTCCTTTTTGGAGAACTGTCTATTCAGGTCCTTTGTCCATTTTTAAATTGGATTTTGTGTGTGTGTGTGTGTGTGTCTTGAGTTTTATAAGTTCTTTATAAATTTTGGGTATTAACCCCTTATCAAGATGTGTTGGCGAATATGTTCTCCCATTCTGCGGGTTGTCTTTTCATTTTGTTGATGGTTTCCTTTGCTGTGCAAAACCTTTTTATTTTGACCTAGTTCCATTTGTTTATTTTTTCAAATTATCATTTACTTTTTATTAACCTCAAATTTAATGCATTATGTTTAAGTAATTCACACTTTCAGTGAACCACTGTTAATTAGCTGATATAACAAGCACAATGTTTAGTTCGGCTGAGATATCAAGACTTTATCAAAGGAAGAAGCAGGACATTAATTTTCATCATGGCACAAGTTAGTGTGTTCTCCCTAGCACTGTCTCTATACAATCAGAACATACATCTACAAAAGCAAGCAAAAGTCCAAACCATATTTGACTTGTTAACTCTTTGAAGTTTTATACTTTTTAAGGGCATGTATACTTGCTAGCAAGGAAGTTAAAAAATAAATTTTCTCCGTATCACTGTCATGTTAGCAAAAATCATTGTGTTCATCAAATTTTAACAAAAATCCCTTTGCTATCTTATTTGTCAAAGAATTGGTTTTCTGTATCTCTAAACTACCCCTAAATATATCAAGCTATGGTGTTGCTGGAAAGTATTACATGAACTACCTTCTTCGCTATAGATTCACCCAACATCTCCAACTTAGTCTTGTCATTTGTTTGTAGTTTCTAAATGTTAGCAACTTGAAGTTAGACTTTGAAAGAAATTCACATTATCATTTAGTCACCTTATGCCCTCTCCCTGCCAGCAATCACCACACTGCTGTCCATGTCCATGAGTCCTTTCTCCTTCTTGCTCAATCTCTCTATAGGAATTTGTTTCTAATAAAATTTTTTTAAAAAGAAATTCACAAAGCACTAATGATCACATGAAATCCTGAGGATCTGCTTCTGTCAGCTTTTTAACTGTAATATTCTTTCTTTCAGATAATGTATTTGTGCCCGTGAATGTCATGCCTATTATAAAAGCAACTTAAATTTTGATGGTTTTATTGTTTAAGTACGTAACTGCCAATAACCCACATAGTTTTAGCATTGCCCCATCAACTATGGCTAAAAATTGAACTCAAAATAGGAGGGATAATGCTTCTCAACAAAACCAGTACAAACTTTTGTTCAATATTTCTTTGAAATTACTTCCATCATCATCAATCACTTGGTTCACTATTACTGTCATATTAAAAAAAGGGATACTTTTACTTAACAAAAAAAGTCTGTTAAAGCTTGTTTGTTTTATCTTAAATAAATTAGGATAAAAAAATATAAATTTACTCCCTGTGTTTAGGAAATAATACTAACAAAAGCAGAAATTGAAAATAAAATATTTTTACTTTTTTTTGCTTGTATTATTTATTTTAAAATTATTTTAATCATGGAACAAGAGTAAGTCTAATTAAATTCAACACAAGATTTTTAAAGTGAATAAATCTTTACATTTTCTTCAATTCCTAATCATTTTGGGTTACAAATGACTAATACAAAAATAACATATGTACAGCAGAATACACATTCTTCTCAATCTCACATGGTACATTTACCAAGAGCGACCATCTTCTGGGCCATAAAACACATCTTCACAAATTTAAAAGAATATAAATCATACAATGTCTGCTCGGAGGCCATAATAAGATTAAACCAGAAATCAGTAACAGAAAGATAACTGCAAAATGTTAAGACAACATGAAGAATAAACAACACTTCTAAAGTACATGTAGATCAAAGAAGAATCTCAAGAGAAATTTTAAAATATTTTGAACTAAATGAAAATAAACACACAAATTAACATTTGTGAGATGCAGTGAAAGCAGTAGTTAGAGGAAAATTCACAGCACAGAATGCATGTATTAGAAAAGAAGAAGAAAGATATAAAATCAATACTTAGTTTCTACCTTTGGAAACTAGAAAAGGAAGAGCAAATTAAATCCAAATTAAGCAGAAAAAAAATGAAATAATAATTAGAGCATAAATCAATGAAATTGAAAATAGGAAACCAATATACAGAAAAATCAATGAAATCCAAAGGTATTTCTTTGTAAAGATGAAGAAAATCAATAGGTCCCCACCCAGGCTAAATAAGAAAAAGAGAGGACACGGATTTCAACTACATGGCACAGTAGAGCAGCAAAACTATGGAGATAGTAAAAAGATCAATAGTTGCCAGGGGCTGGAGGATAAGTAATTGATGGGTGGACGTGAGGGGGGAGGAATAAATAGGTGGAGCACAGAGGATTTTTAAGGCAGTGAAACTACTCTGTA